TTTTTTTTGGCTGCTTTGGTTACAGGTTATTATAGGTGGGATAACGAGCAATGTAGTTGTGAAGTGTTTAGGAGGAGCACTTTTTATTGATGCTATACTTTCAGTATTAGTATCTGTTTATTTGCTTTGTGAGAGAAGAGTTCTGGCTTTCGCATGCCGGGGGTCTCTGTGCTGAGATTAAGAATAAACAACATTATTTTTTTTTATTTGCAACCTCAATCAATTTTATTGATGGAAATCTTTCCTTACATTTTTGAGTAACTTTTCTGATTAGCTTTTCTGTCTAGTGTTCGACAGAATATGCTTGTAAATGCTCCTCATACTCTCGCTTAATTAAAAGAAATTATTTAAGTTTCTCTCGGATCTGTGTATTGTTGACCTAAAAGTCAAGAGGTGCACTTCATCAAATTGAAGTTATTTTAAGTTTTAAGTTTGCAGCTTTGTAGGGTTTTGCATAATAAACGGTGCCTTGTGCTCCTGGAAGAGGGTGGGGAAAGACGAGTAACGAGTATGTGAAAACAGGTAGGTTGAGTATTAGGACTCTTTTTCGACCGTAATTAAGCTTCCTTTTTAAAAGCTTTGAGTGAAACTTGATTTTATATTTAGTTAAAGTAATCATTTCAAAGGGGTAGGAGATACAGATATAAGTTTCTCTGGGATTGGTCAATTTTCTAAGTTTTTGACAATATAATAACTTCTTTTTAACTTGTAAAAGTTCCCTTGGTTTAGTTGAATCTACGTAACCTCTTTTTACCTGTCTCAGGAAATTTCTTTTTAAGTTACAGTCATTTCGTAAAAGCAGCATTGTGTCTTTCAGTAATTTTTTTTTGTTTTGGAAGTTCAATCCAAGTTTATTGATTTATCTCTTTCTTTCAATTTTTAGTTTAAAGTGGATGCAGGAAGACATTTGATATTTATAGTTTCTCAAAATTCGAGAATTATTATTATTATAACTGAATAAACTGCAGGTCGTCTGCTATGTCTCACTCCTCTGTAGTGGTTTCTATGACTACTGAGTTGCTGCCTGTATAGCAGGATTAAAGCTTAAGGTGCTGTGCAGCTTTTGTACTACATTTTTTAAGAATATGTTTGAGGTTTTTTTTTTGAGGTTAATTTTTTTTACTTGGAGCACTTCCCAAAGTTCTCCATCGTCATTCTTGCAATTTTTTGCTTGTGGAATTGGTAATGACAAATATAATCTTTTCTTCTACTTTGCTGGTAAATAACATTTATACACTATCTAACAAGGATGAGTCTTGCACGTGATGGACCATCTTTGTCAACTACATGGTTAACACCCGCAGTTGTTACTACTCTTTAATGTGTTTTTACAGGGTCGTGAATTCAAGATTTTTCCTTCTTTTCTCATTTTAGTGCAAAAAAATGGTATTTCCAGAAGACAAATTTTTTTAGATCTCGACCTGGAGAAAGAAGAAGACATGCTTTGAGTCCGCAGCTTCCTCCTTACTCCACAGAGTCATCTCGTCCAGCAATCGATCAGTTAGGTAATTTCATTTCCGAGATTTTCATGATGTTGAATGGCAGTCTCAACTTAATGTTATAGATTTTTATAACTCAAGTAACTTAAAATTCACCATATACTTTTTTTGAAATTTTTTGCTGCTAATGATTTATTTATTTAAAATTTATCTTGACCTTTTATACCCTGGCCTGAACAGTGTCTTTTAACATTTAGGAAATATGCCTGGGTCTCCTGGAACAGGGAGGGCTTTGCACTGCATCCCCCATAAATGGCGTCGTAGGAAGGCGTTTTTAAATGTAGAGCCATGTAGAGTTTGTAACCGTCAGCTGAATTTTTTTGCTGGATATGAGAAATGCTCCTCTTGCAAGTGAGATCAATTCACTTTTCAATATGATTTTTCTTTTGTCTTCGTTGATGCATTTTTCATTTTTGTTTCATTTATTTATTATCAAAAGTTTTTTTAGGGCAAAAGTTCATACGGCTTGTAAATTGAAGTTAGGGGACAATTGTGGTCTAACTGTGGACGTATTGAAAGAAGCGTTTAGTCATATGTTTAAGAAGGATTACGAGGAGGTTGAATGTTGTTATTTTCAGTTTCTTGTGGGGCAGTCTTTCTGTGTCGGGAGACTTGCCAATTTTTTTTTCTAGGATAATTGGAAGCAACAGTCAGCTGCAAAACCTGATTTTTTGAGTACAGACAGCAGTTATCCTTGTGATTCCCCAGACAATAGTTCTTCCAGCCCAGGAAGTTCTACTCCATCAACACCAGCATATCCTCTTAGTCAGCCTGGTACAAGCAAAGGTCTGTTTACAAAAATGTCAGAGAGACTTTTGACAGACAAAAATACTAGAATTTTTGTTTTAGTTCGTACCTTCGCCTTTTCTGACGATGTTCGTTACCACGCTAAAATACCTGAAGTTGTGCCGGAGGTTCCAGATATCGTTATAGAGACAGAGCAGTGGTAAATTTATTATGATTTTATCGAGTTTTGGAACTTTATTATTTGAAATAATTTTATTATTTAAGGATCGAATCTTTTATGCGACCATTTTTTTTATTGGATGGCACTTTCTGTTATTTGATGAAAGCTTTTTTAAGGTTCTTTGTTACATTTACTGACGCATTCACAAAATTCGTTCATTTAGCGAATCTCCACAGCGTCTTCTTTCTTCTCAAGGGTCAGACAGCACTGTAAGAGGAGATGGTGCAACAAGTTCGGAGGGTACATTGCTCACAGAGTCATATGGCGCTATAAGAGGTTCTTCTGGAGATATACCGGTAATTAAGTGCTGCATTCAATTCAGTTCTCAAAGAGATTGACGAACCGTTTTGTGACAACTCTCTTTTTTTTGCTTTCTCTTTTTGTTGTTGCAATTTTACTAACCTTCCGTCGACTATAGGATGAAAAAGATGACTCCACCCGGAATCACATTCTTCATCGCAACCGTTGGAGCAACGGGACTATTAGGATACCCAACAACTGGACCGATGTTACTATTTCTCCTGGGCAAGTTGAGATCAAGGAACGTTCTCTGCTGGGACATGGCAGGTTTGGTGATGTAAGTCAGCTTTGTAGTCTTTATAAATTTTGTACCGAAAACTATGGTTTCGTAAATCTTACCGTTTTTTATATCGTCTTCATCCAATCATTCCTTAGGTGCATAAGGGGAACTATTTTGGTGACGTTGCGGTAAAAATGTTGGATATGAGCCACGTTGATGAGTCAGTTAGAGTTGAGGCTTTTAAGGTTGGTCATTTTATGTTCTCCTGAATGCACTTTTTCTGGAAACTGTTTTAACGTTTTATTACAACACTTGTCTTCTCAAAATGTATTTTCTTGACCTCTCCAACTTTTAAATTGTTCTAATTTTGTAGAATTGAATGCAGCGCTTCTCAATTAGGTGGGGTCATGGATGCCAGAGAGAGTAATCTTCTGTAGAATTATACTATTTTTATAAGAAAATGATCTTCATTGCTGAGAATGGCTACGAAACTTAATATTTTATTGCTGGTGTATGGAAATTTTTTGAATGTCAAATAGTGCCAAGGAGCAGTTAGACAAATGGTCCACTGGATTGCTTTCCAAGTTTTTTGACTCTTTTTTTTATGAGACTGGAAATACGAGGTTATGGAGTTTTCTAAGTCGGTTGCAGTTATGGGGAATTTTCCATTTTAAGTCATTTTTCAAGATTGTAGGATTTTGTGCCTTCTTCGTTGCGCACTTTTTTTTCAAATCGTAGGGGTGCGGTTTAGCGGGCTCCCCGCTGTGGTCACTAAAAATTAGTAAGAAACGTTCGGATTGGGTAAGGCGCTGCTGAACTAGAAAAGTGCTTTTTTGGTCGCAACTTTTACGTTATTCCTGATGTTTTTTCAGCAAGAGGTAGCTTCGTACAAAAATACTCGTCATGTCAATATTGTATTGTTTATGGGATGTTGTTTGGACAAAAATTCCTTGTTTATTGTGACCAATTTGTGTAAAGGATTTACGCTTCACGTCCTGCTTCACGAACGGTTTCAGCAGTTTGACCTGGGACAAGTCGTTTATTTTGGAGTGCAGATTTGTCAGGTTTCCTGCTTTTCGTTAGCTTTCTTGTATTCAGTTTAGGAATCACCACTGTTTTTTTCTTGTAGGGCATATCATATTTACATACTAAAGGGATTTTACACAAGGATTTGCGCTCTAAGAACATATTTATTGAGAAGAATAATCGAATTGTGATCACGGACTTTGGGTTCTTTACTATGAAGCGGCTTCGTGAACCAGATCAGTGAGTACTGCTTTGAAGCTTATTCGTCACTTCTGAAACTCAAAACGTTTGGGGAGATTCAAGTTTTTTTATCTTTACTACAAGTCCCGCACGGCTGATTTTATGTAATGAAGACATAGTTCTAGTTAGTATACATTTTAACGTTAATTGTAAATTATTTAGTCCGATAAGTTTAGTGGGTTTTTTAATACTATATTTTAGTTTCTATTTTAGTAATATTGAAAAAAGTGTCTGCAAGAGACAGATTTTTGCTCTAAGAAGACTTCAGTTTCTGTTGTACTGTAATCTGCAATACTGGAGTGTGGCACAGTTATTTCAGAATTATGAAAGGACTTTTTGTGGTGCTTTTTTGACAAGATCTTGTAATGGGGTTTAGGTTTTAAGAATTAAATGAATAATTTTATCAGTAGTTGATGTTTAATTGATGTTTAACGTTGTACTGGGCAGTACAGCTAGTATTATCAGTAAGGTTGACTACTCACAGAATCTTAAAAATGCAACGAGAATCGATATTTTAAACAGAGATGCAGATAAAGTTTGTAGAAAGGGGAAACAGTGACGTAACAGACTTACGTTTTTTATGTTTAGCCTACGAGTTATTTTTTGTTGATGTATAACCATAAAGTATAGAAGAGTATCGTTATGAAATAGACAATTTATTAAGAGAAGTGTGCATGGAAACTACAGAAGGAGGGTCGAGAATCAAAAATTTGTTTTTTGTAGATTGTTTATATATGCTTACAAGTTTAAAGTGTAATGTTAGTTTGATTTCACGGCGAAGGTGGATTTCTCAGGGGCAAATTTATAATTTTGTGCAATTAAGTCAAAATAAGATTTACGATTGAGTTTAAGAACGTTTATCTTTTGGAATCTTGTTTCAATTCTATGCTTTCCGCCGTGCTCGATTATTGTGAGGAAGTATCAAATTTTTTTCCTTTCTAGTTTAAGGTGTGATATAAGTAAGGAACTAATGATTTTTGATCCTGTCATCTAGTACCTTTTTAGTGCACACTTAATTTCACTTTATAGCAATAGTTATTTACGTGTGCCGGAGAGGTGGTTGACATATTTGGCTCCCGAATTGATTCGAAGTATTGCGTCTGATCTTCGTGAACTTCCGTTTTCGGAGCACAGCGATATGTATTCGTTTGGGTTAGCCTTTCTGTATTTTTGCTTTTTATTTTTTATTTGCAGTAACTTTTAAGGTGTAGTTTCACTGTTTTTTTTTCCAGAACAATTTGGTATGAGCTAATGACATACCAGTTCCCGTTTTCGAAACTTCCAAGCGATGTAATTATTTATAGAGTTGGGAAAGGTTGTACAGGAGAGCTGGTGAATGTTAAGGCAGCTAGAGAAGTTAAGGTATGATACAGAGAATGTTTGCATTCTTATCTTTCTCCTTATATGGTGTTCAAGGTCATCTTAATTTTTGTTCTTTATTATAATAAGTCTTCGTTTTATCATTTGAAATATGTGATAATTTTTACTTTTAGGAAATTTTAATGCACTGCTGGGCATTTGCTCCGTCAACTAGAATTTCTTTTGTAGAACTGCAAACTATGATTGAAAGATTACCAAAAAAGCGTTTAACACGTAGTCCGTCTTATCCCGTATCGAGAAGTCATGACTCGATGTTTATTTAAGTTACTACTGGTTGTTGTTTTTAACGCTTGTGGCTTGTCTTTTCTCAGTTTGTGTTTATCTGTTTCATTTTTTCTGATGTTACGATTTTTTGTTAAGGCGCGCTGCTAAAGGCATTAGTGACTCAGGATCTCAGTGATAGCAGTATTGCATGGATTTAGTTGTATTCAGAAGCAATTTTTCATTTCTAGGCCGCATTATCAAGTCTGGTATTTATTGAAAAATCGCATTAGTCATTTTGAAGTAAACATTAACTAAAGTGAATGCGCAGCCTGAAACAAAATACAAAAAATGCTTCAGGCATTTTTTTTAGTTTTGCTTGATTGTTTAAAGCTTTAATGCGTTGTGATTACTCTGATTGTTTGGTCTCAGTCTAATCAATTTATTTTTCTATTTTTATTTTTATTTTTTTTTTTTTTTTGTTTATGTTAATGTCTGTCATTTTTGTTAAAGGTTAGTGGTACTTAGAAGCTTAGCGGTCAAGCGCAAATACTCAAGTAGGCTGGGTAATTGTATAGCATTGAGTAGGTTATTGCAACTTTACGAGGGCCAAACATGTAGTTACTATTGCTCCCTTCGTTCCATTGTCGATTATTGTGCTTCGTCGTATCCGCTCAACGTTTTTCAATAATTTATTACGTTAACAAAACTTTGGGGCGACGGAACTCTACTCTTTTAAATTTGCGGGTATATTTAACTGTTTATTTCTTGTAAATTACTAATTACTTAGCTGTCTTTGTATGCCATTGTAATCACTGACGGCTTTTCTCTTTCTAGTCGGCAAATTTGCAAATGCGATTTGTGAAGCTCCTTGATTTCTGTTTATTTTTTTCCATTTAAATCCTGCAAAGGGGTTTCTTTTATGAGCAGCAGCTTTTAGATTTCGTAGACTTTTGGTTCCAGTGGGGCCAGAAACGGGTTATAGACAAAAAACTTTTAGGTTTTAAGCTTCTAAGTTCTTTTCATCGAAACCTTCATATTCTTATCGGTGGTGCCTACACCCCTTGTTCCTGTCGAAGTTACATTTTGTAGGTTGTTTGAAACCTCAATGAACAGTTTTTTACGACACTGATAGAAATAAAAATTGTTTAAAAGCAAACAAAATAAAATACTTCGCTTTGCTACACTGCTTTGTTTTTTTTTAAAAATTTACTCGAAAGTACAATTCAAAATTGGCTTGAATAAGCGGTCTGCGGTCAACATGACTGACCAGTTGCGCAGTAGAAAATGAGCATGTAAACGCAATGCGTAATAAATGAGGTCTGGCTATACTGTCGTCACCTGTTTTGCACTTTAAGGATGTTGCTTTATTTATCACGCAGTCTTCCTCTTTTTCATCGATACGACGCTGGAACGAGTAATTTTGCCATAAATAAAGATTTACTTTCTAATTTTTTTGTTAAGTTTATAAAGTTTTCCCTTTTCAGACGCCATACCGAGGTGCTAGGTGAGGTGTAAGTTGTTGTTGTTGTTGTTGTAGATAAGCACTTGGAGTTTTGAAAAGAACTCAATCTACCAGTGCAGGTGCAACAATGTTGGTCGCTAGACTGGGGTTCCTTTATTTTAAGGGGCTTTTTTATAAGTTTAATCAGTGACATGGAAGGCATCTTCAGTTAAGGTTTGTAACAGCTGGAAGCGATGCAGAAACGCCTGATTCTTGTCAGCCGTATTGCCGGTAAACGATGCCACTTTCTTGAAGCTAGACTTCCATTATTTTGCTTTAAACACTTAGTGTTATGAATATGAGTCGGAAAGAATGCAGATGTTTAGGAGCATCCTGCTGCAAATTAATGCCACTTTATGTGAAGTGTGTGAAGCATTATTTTTGAAGGACAGTATAACAGGTGTGAGCTTAGATCGCAGTAATCTGGAAGTGATTTTAATGTTGCCTGACAAAAAATGTTTGCTGACTGCAATGCGAGCATTAATTAAAAGTGAATATCTAGTTAACCGTGCGATGAGCTTGACAAAAAATTTTTTTGACTTCCAAAAATGCGTGATGCACAACAGTTCAGCAACAATGTGTGCTTACCGTACTGCCTTAATACCTTAATTCCTTCAGTATCAGTCTAAACAATATCATTTTCTGCCCCACTATTGTTTTTGCTACTTAAATATTGCAGAAGAAGCTCCTGATATGTAAACACAAATAGTGGTTTTGCTTCTCCTGTTTCAGTTCTGTAGTCAAAAACATGTGGGAGCAGTGAAAATTCCTCTGTCGTCGGTTCTTGTTTAGATTTCTTTTTTCCCAGAAATAGGTCTCTGCTCGAAAGCATCAGTAAGTTTAACTAATGGGCAGCACAAAAAGTTGAAATAACTAAGCTTATAGATTACTCCTCAGAACTGTTATTGAGATTTTAAGTGAGTGTCTTTTCTGGATGTCATATTCTAGCAGTTCTCCTAAGTCGCGGAAACTTTTAATATGCTACTAGAAACGAATAAAGATAATGCTATACTCACAGGGCCTTAGTACCTGGCAGGCCGATGAGTAGGGCACGGCTTGGAAGTCACAACGGTTAAGAGAAATAGTGATAAACTGGAAGATATAGGAGCGGTTTGAGGTTTAAATAAACGAAAAACTCTTCAAGATGAAGTAACAAAAAAAATTTTTTCTTTGAAGATTTTTTTCGCTTTTGACCTTTGTTTCGGTCTTTTTCTCAAAGTTGTTGAATTAGATTCTGCAGGTGATCGCAATCCTATGAAGGGAGCTCAATTTCAAGGTTACGAAATACTTCAAAATTTATCTATAATTTATGGATTACCTGAACGGTGCATCTTAATGAGAAAGTTGCCCAAAAATGGCTGAGACAATTTTTTCCAAAGCAATAATCCGAAACAGTAAGTAAAAAAAATTTTTTCTCTGAAAAGGACATGACTTTTACACAACAAAGAAGTTTTGTTAGTACTTGGCGGCAACTTTTTTTTGTGCGTCAGCTTTTTGCAAAACAAATAGACGATTCAAAAGCATCTGACTGTTTCCAATCTTTGTACTTCGTGTGATTTATTTATAC